GAGGGAAAGTGAGAAAGCAAGCCACCAGGTCCAGGACTCAAACCATGGTTGGCCATGTGGAAGTGTCCAGCGCCTTAATCACCACGCCACCTGCTGGTTCCCAAGAACCATGGCTTCGTCTTGCCCTAAGCCCCTGCATTCTCCAACACCCCTTCCTCAGCCTGTCCTCAGTTAATGGTATGCTATTGTGCTCAGCTGCCTCCCCATCAACCCAGCGGCAAATCCGTTCAGCGCTGCCTTCAAATTGTATCAAAATTCCTGGGACCAGCAGTTGGCATAATGGCTACGTCGCTGGACTCCCACGTAGTTGACCTTGGTTCGAGTCCCAGACCTGGCGGCTTAAAACTTACACCAGATGTGTGTGCATGCGTGCCCAAAGTCCCAAGAGAAGAACACAGAAGGGATTGAGACATGGCCATCTCTTCTCACTTTCTGCCTCTCTGTCTCTGTCTCACCAGTGAGCACATGTGCCTTATAGCAAAAAGCTCTCAAAAAAAAAAAAAAAATCCAAGCATTTCTTACTTCTTTGGGACCCCAACCTAGCCAGAGTCCCAACTATTATTCACTGGGAAGGTTGACATCTACCCAAGGGCTTCCAGCTTAGCCTCCTCCGCCGTCTGTTCCTCCAGTAGCCACCAGAGGGCGCCCCAACACCTGAGTCAGTTCAGGTTCCTTTTTTTCTTTCTCTTTTTTTTTTTGTAAGAACTTAAGTGAAAAGTATTTTTTTTTTTGAGAGTTTTTTAATTTTTTTATTTTGCTATAGGGCGCGTGCACTCGCCAGAGAGAGACAGAGAGATAGAAAGCGAGAAATCATCCCCCAGGGGAGATGGCCACGCCGCAATCCCTTCTCCTCCATTCTCCTCTCGGGATCTTGGGCACGCACACACACACGCCCGTGAGAGTGGGTCGGGGACTCAAACCGCGGTCGACTACATGGGAGTCCAGCGACATAGCCATTACACCAACTGGTGGCCCCTCTTTTTCTTTTTTTTAACTTTTAAAAAATAATGATTTGACTTTATTTAATATGATGATTATTATTATTTAACTCATGTTCACCAGAGACATAGAGAGAGGGGAGGGAAGCCAGAAAGCAAGCTGCCAGGTCCAGGACTTGAACTGTGGTTGCCACCATGCCATCTGCTGGTCCCAACTTATTTTTTTTTTAAGAATTATTTTATTCAACTTTACTCATTATTATTATTATTATTATTATTATTATTATTTAATTTGACTAGAGAAAGAGAGAGAGAGGTGAAGTGAGAAAGCAAGCCACCAGGTCTGGGACTCACACTGCAGTCGGCATGTGGGAGTCCAGACCCTAACCACCATGCAACCTGCCAGCCCCTCTTTCTCTTTTTTTTTTTTTTTGAGAGGTTAGGCAGAAAGGGCAAAAATGATGCTCTTTGTAAAAAAGAGATTGGGCCTCTGTGCCCACAGCTCCAGCTTACCAGTAACTTTATGGTTTTCCTCCTAGGTCTGCTGACGTTTGTGAACTGCGCCTATGTCAAGTGGGGCACACGTGTTCAGGATGCGTTCACATATGCCAAGGTCCTAGCGCTCATTGCCATCATAGTCATGGGCCATATTAAGTTGTGCCAGGGTAAGAGCGGCTCAGGGTGGGAAGGAGGGTGAATGTCTCTAGGAGTTCCTATGGATTCCCTGAGGAGGACCTAGGGACTGTAGTGAGAGACAGAGGGGAAAGTGAGAAAGCACCCTTCAGAGGGGATATCCATGCCACAATCCCTTCTCCTTCATTCTCAAGATTTTGGGCACGCGCACACATGTGCATGCCTGCGTCACGCTGCTGGGTCTGGGATCTGGTCAACTATGCAGCCAGCCACGTGGGGTCCAGTTGCCTTAACCCCCATGCCACCTGGCCGGCCCCCGGCTGACCTTCCAACGCACCAAACAAGGTCTCATTCTCGGGATGTTGGTACATTCTCGGCGTGGTCGCTTTTCTGCAGGTCTCTGCTTATTAAAGGATGCCACTTCCTCGGGACCAGCAGTTGGCATAATGGCTATGTCACTGGATTCCCACGTAGTCGACCACGGTGAGAGTCACGAACCCAGCAGGTTAAACTCAGGCCAGGCGCGTGTGCGTGCGTGCCCAAGATCCTGAGAGGAGAATGGAAGAGAAGGGATTGTGGCATGGCCATACCCCGGGGGGTGATGTCTTGCTTTCTGTCTCTCTGTCTCTCCAGCAAGTACACTCACCCTATAGCAAAAATTTCTGAAAAAAAAAGGGGGGCAGGTGGCGTGATACTTAAGGGTACTGGATAGTCCCACATGGCCAATCATGGTTCGATTCTTGGACCGGGTGGCTTGTTTTCTCACTCTCCTCCCACTCTGTCCTTCTCTGGTCAAATTAAAAGAAAGAGAGAGAGACAGACAGAAAGAAAGAAAGCTAAATGAAATAATTTTTTAAAAACAAAAGAATGCAAGAGGCCAACCCTCACTCCGAAGCAATGACCTGAATCTGGCTCGCTTCCTGTCCCGCACATGGGTGTCCAGAGGCCAGGCAGGACGGATCAAAAGTCTTTATTATTCTTCTCAAATATTAAAAAAAAAAAAAAAAAAATCAAACTCTCCCCGGGCAGTACATTGACTCCAGGAAGATAATCAAAGATAAGAATCACATTGCTAAAAATAATAGGCTTACACCTGCCACCAACCCTCCCCCCCAATCTGGGAGGGCAAAGGGCACAGGTCATGACCTCAGGGCTCTAAGCAATGAGCCGAGGCCTGAGGTGGGAGCCAGGTGGGTTGGAGGAGTCCAGGGTGGATGGAGCCCTGGCTGGCTCGGCAAACAGCAGGGTCCTGCGGCAGGTCAGTGCTTGTCCGTGGGCCGGAGGCTCAGCGATGTCAGTCGTCCCAGCGGGCTGCGGCGAGCGTTGGTGGCCAGCCTCTGCTGGGCCAGGCAGGACTGGGC